AGTCTGAAGCCCACACATCACCCCTGGCCTTTACAGACAACTGTGTGGCTGGTGGACTTCCACTCTCTGTCCTTTCCAGAACTGAAGATTTGCAGAGATAGGAAAAGCAATGAAGGCCCTCTTCAGGAGCCCATGTGACCTCTCTTCTGTTCCTTTTGCCCTACCTAGATGCACCTGCATGTGAGGTCAGGGAGTCTTTGGGAGGCAAAGGTTCAAGCCAGATACCACTTTCCTTCCCCTTTATGTAGCCTGTCTTAGCTCAGTGAAGAATTCTGTGGCTCCACAAATGTTCTTTCACCAGGCACCCTCATGAAGAAACTCTGGCCAGCTTATGCATGGTGGGCATGACTCTGGCAGGCCCTTCTCCTCTCTCCCATTCCCTCTCCCTTGCTAAAAAAATCATTAAATTGCATTCCTAAAGCTATCCACCCAGGTCTATTCCCTTATTTGGCCACTTCCTCCTCCTGAGGCTTACTACCAAGGTTATTGCAGTCCAGCAATCAAAAGCCTCTTTTGCCTTACCTAATTAACATGCTCATTAAAATGAAACACCTGATCCTAACATGGGGTTCCCCCTTTTACCTTTTTAAACTGCAGTTTATCTATTGCCATGTCTGTCTCCCATCTCTCCAGTCCTTTGTTCTTCAGGGGCATATACCCTTCCCTTCCTCCCTTGTTCCCATTCCTTCCTTCCTTGTCCTCTACTCCTGTCTTTGTCTCTTTTTCCTTCCTCTGTCTGTCTGCGAGACTTGGGAGTCCTGAGCCGATACTTTTCCTTTCCCTCAGGGTGTCATTGGTTGCCCACTGGTTCTCTCTCCCTCTAACTTCACAGCCCACACGGAGCTCAGGGAGCACATCCGGGTTGTTTTTCTACACTGCTTGAAAGGGCGGAGACTTATAAAAAGCGTTCTGTCCATCACAGAGTTGCTAAAAGCAGGAGTGAAGGGTCATAAAGAGCAGTCAGGGCCCCGCCTTCTCTGGCACAGGCTGAGGAAGGACGGATGAGTGAGACACAGATTGACTCACATCTGGATTTTCTTTATTCACCTCTGTCTCTTCCAGTTTCTCTGCCCTCTCCAGTTCCTCCACATTTAGGGGCAAATATCTTCACTTTTTCTGTTCACACTTCTTTCTCTTTATGTCTATTTACCTGAGGGACAGCATTTAATTTAACCTGGAGAATCAGCATCTCTCATCTTTGCTGTGGACAATATCTAACAGTCGTTCTCCATCTTGGGAGACCATTGATATTACCTAGGGAGCTTCCCAACTGTAATTAAATTCGATTCACTGGAATGTGAACCCAGGCACAGAAATGATGCAAATCCCCTCATTCGGTCCCCTCAGGATGCTGGGAATCAGTGCTTCAGAAGTGTGAGTGACATGGGGATGGAGAACAAACACATCAATGGATACCACAGAATGCAGAAAGCCAGGCACAGACAGGCTGAGAAACTTACAGAGGCTGCACAGATGGCCATTTTCAGAGTGGGACTCTAATGTCACCCCAGAGCTCTGGCTCTCTATCTATTCATTAGTTAGGCGAATGGGTCAGAGCCACTGTATTTTTGCCTGCCCTTTCCAATCTTTCACCTCACTTCTCATCCCCACCCACATCCCATGCATGCTCTCAGCACTGTACGTCATGAGTGGCCTAGAGCTGCTTCAGGCCAGTTCACCTTCCCTTTGGACACTGATGCCATCCGCTTCCTCATTGCCTCTTCAGAATGACCCTCTCAGAGTGATCCAGAATTCACTGACTCAGACTCACACCTGAGTGTTGTGCACCGTGTGTAAAATGATGAGGAAGATGAAGGATGAGGTGACTGCTTGCTTCAGCTTTCAAGAGGCCGATGATCTCCAAGTAATATAATTTAATTTATAGTTGAAAAGCTCTCTAGGTAATGTTGATGGTCTCCCAAGATTGAGAAGGACTGTTAGATATTGTCCACAGCAAAGATGAAAGGTAGTGATTCTCCAGTTTAAATTAAAATGCTGCCCTTCAGGTAAATAGACACAGAGAGAAAGAAACGTGGAAAGGAGAGGGAAGGTTTTGAACTGTCAGCCTCTTAAGTGTCTTCTCTCAGCTAAGCCACAGCTTGGTGGTGTTGTGGTTCGAATATAAACTCACCTCCAGAAGTTCATGCTTTTGAACTCTTCATCTCCAGCTGGTAGTACTGATTTGTAAACTGTGGAATCTTTGAGGAGACGACCTTAGACTGGAGGAAGGGAGTGAGGAAGGCAAGCCTTGTGGGCTAAAGCCAAGCCACATATGATAGATTGGCCCTCGCTCTCCTCCCTGTCCCCCACCCCCTGCATCCGGTATGCTAATATGTAAGCAAACAGCCTCACCCTTCTGGTACAGCCATCTACACACACCCTGTCTCTGCCTTTGTGGAATGTGTCCCCTCACACCTTGCGACAAAATGGAGTTCTTTTCCATTAAGTCGCTTCTTGTCTGGTGTCTGTTCACAGTGACAATAAAGGACACAAATACAGGGGTAACACAACTTACTTGGATAATGTCATACTTCAAGACCCAGCTGAGGTCAAAGAATCAGTTTATCCTTCCTTCTCAATAGATCCTGAACCCTTTGAAAAGGATGGGGAGAATCAGATCCTTCATTTGTTGCCTTGGAATCTGGCCAAATTCCTGGCACAAAGAACAAATGCCAAGTCTTATGATCATTAAAAAAAAAGAACAACATGTTAAAAGGGGCCATAGCTCAAGGTTTTAGCAGTCAGAATGATTCAGAGTTCAGATGAGGGGAGATGACTTAAGCAAAAAAGTCAGGAACTACTTTTAGCTCACTTTAACAGCTGGGAATCAACTATATATAACCTGATGTTTAATTTCTAGGATTAAGAAGACCAGGACAACTGAATAACAAGTGATTTAGCTACCCAGTTGCCACTCTATATCTGCCTGGTCATTTTCACTAACAGTCCTTAAGATAAATGCCAATAAAATGATTACATACCTCTGAGATCTTCAACACAAAACTGAGAAAACAAAACAAAACAAACACTGATATGTTTGTGTACAAGCAAAGATGCCGTTGGTATGCTTTTTTTAAAATTTTACTCAAATTTTGTATTCATAGTAAACAGCAAGGATTGTAGACACAATCTTATGTTTTGGACACTAGCTTAGTGTACAGAAGCGACCTTTCCACACACTAAGATGTTCTCCTGTTTCTTTTCCTTTTTTGCCATTTTTTTTTCTTTTTTGAAATTGATTTTACTAAGCTGTACATTTTTCTCTGCTCCCCTCAGTATACTTTTCCCCCCAAGGAAAAGTACATGTTTTCATTTATATTGATTAGCCTGGAATTTTGAGAATAACTTGGGTATGGATAAAATATAGCTTACTGATTGCTTATTCCCTGTCTGTCCTAAACTGTAAATCTGCGTGAGGCCCTTTGACAGGATTCATGGGAGATATAATAAAGTAATCACCTTCAATCTCGCCAGATTTCCTCATCAGTTTATTAAAGAAAGAGAATAACACTCTCATACCAAAGTGCCAACCATTCAAGACCACACCTAAGAAAACGCTAGATTGTGTTTCACAGATGTTTGTTAGATGCTGAGGTGATGTGGGAGTGATTTTTTATTAATAAAGAAACTGCCTAGACCCATTTGATAGGCCAACCCTTAGGTAGGCAGAGTAAACAGAACGGAATGTTGGGAGAAAGAAGCTGAGTCAGGGAGTCGCCATGATTCTCCCATTCCAGACAGACGCAGGTTAAGATCATTCCTGGTAAGCCAGCTCGTGGCTACACAGATTAATAGAAATGGGTTAGATCAATATGTAAAAGCTAGCCAATAAGAAACTGAAACTAATGGGTCAGGCAGTGTTTAAAAAAATACAGTTTCCGTGTAATTATTTCGGGTAAAGCTAGCTGGGTGGCGGGACACAGCCCGCCGCTCCGTATTACAACACTGAGGAAAGGGAAGGATTCCTGGAAGGTCGGCGGATGGAGGGGAGGTGGGAGCTGTAAGCCATACTCTCTGTTGGCTTTCCAATCAGGTTCGCAGACAAGACCCAGAACAGGACTGAAGTTTTAGTCTTCTCTGAAAAGGACTTCCTCACCAACCCAGCAGCACAACATATAAGCTTTTGGATATCAAGGAATATGTCCTGTCAGTGTGTTTTAGGTTTGTGGTTCTACATTCCTTCTCACTCAGATTTGCTTATAACACCGAACTCCATTATCCCAGCTTTTTTTTTTTTTTTCCCCCCGAGACCGTGTTTCTCTGTAGCTTGGGTGCCTGTTGTCCTGGAACTCCCTCCGAAAACCAGGCTGGCCTCAAACTCAGAGAGATCCGCCTGTCTCTGCCTCCTGAGTACTGGAATTAAAGAAGTGAACTACCACCGCCAGGCTACCCTGGCACTTCCTTTGTCATTTGGAGTCATACACAAAAGTCTCAGAGTATTGTAGCCCCCCGTATCAGGAAGCCAGATAAGACTGCTCAACATTATGATATCGGCTCTCATTTGGTTGCTTTTCTTTCTTACTTTTGCGTGAGGCTGGATCCAGGCCCAGCACTAGCATGTTGTCGGGTGTCCCTAAGTGCAATAGCCTGTGCTGAACTTTACAGCGGAAGTCTACATATTACATAACCTTAATAAACTGCCTTTAGGTCCGAGGTATAGTGGCGTGTGCTCAATGTTAAATGAAACAGTAACATCAAGGTTCCTTTAAATAGGCATATTAAAAAAAAGTTATGTAATGGTCAGTTGACAAAAATATGGTACTAGGGCTCCCAGCAACCTAACACTACTTTCTCCACCAGGGTCAGTGGTACCCCTACACTCCTTACCTTCCTCTGGCCATAGCCTTTGTCTCCTGTATTGCCTGCCTCTGGGCCAAGTAGGGTTGTCAGGGCATTTGTGGAGGTGGAGGGGAAGCCTCCCTCTTTGTGAGCAGAGCGGCCGGCAGGTGGCGCCCGACCTGCCGTTCTTGGCAGCGCTCTGTGGACCAGGTGGACTGGAAGGGGCGGAGGTATCCAGAAGCGGCCAGTGGTGGCTGCCCGCAGTCCCCCACCCCCTCCACGCAGAGCTCCCGACACGCGCGCCTGGAGAGGGCCCAAGAGCGGCGGCAGGGCTAGCTGTCTTCCGAGCTCCGGCACCGCTGCCATCTGCTCTACGAGACGTCCGCGTGTCCCCCGCGGCTCACAGCTCCACGTCGGCCACCATGGAGGCGCAGGCACAAGGTGGGTGGTCGCCACGTCGCCCGAGGTCTGGTCCCGAGCTGCACAGAGAGACGCTTTGCCTACACTAGCTAACTTTACTCCTGGTCCTATGGGGACATCCTATGTGTACGGAACTCCGCGCCTACGCGCGCCTTCGGGGTGACGCTTGCATCCCTAGCTGAATTCGGTATTTGCTGTGGGGTTGGGGACCAGGGAAGAGGTCAGGGACCCGGAAACGGAGTAGCCCTCCTGCAGGGATTGTGTCCCTGTCCGCACTACCCCTTTCCTTCCCACAGTCAGTCGCCCCCACTTCCTTTCCGTAGAGGGTGCCCAAAGGACCTGTTGTGCCGGCTCGGGACCGTTGCGCTCGTCTTCCCCGGGGAGCGGGATCCTCGGGACTCTCGCCGTGGGCTCTTGTCCTTCGGTTCATAAGTGCGAGCGGGGCGGGGGATGGCGGGGGGAGGGAGGCGCGAGATATGTGTGACCTGGACGCGCGGCAAGGTGGTGGCTCTGTGTCCCTACTATGCGAGGGCTGAGGCAGGAGGATTGGCCTTGAAAGGCAAGAGAGCTTTACAACCCCTCCCTCCCCACCCCCACCTCCAGATTGATAACCACGTCCCGGTTCCCCTCCACACACCCCCCCCAATCAGGGATAGGTCTCTATCTGCTAGCCGCACTGGGCGCCAGTCTTAATTAAGGGCTGTCCGCCCCCCTCCGCGCGCTCTGTCTGTGCTCCGGTGTCCTTCAAGAATATGAGTAAAGGATCAGAGGTGGGCAAGTGTGAAGTGAGGAAGAGTGTACCCAGGGGTACACTTTGGAAGCAACGCTCAGAAATAATGGCTTGCGTTTACACCATCAGGACCACCGTTCTTAACACTAAGGAATTCTGTGGTGCCTTTTAAATACATCAAATCCTAGAAGAAGAAAAAAGTAAGGTCATATACTTGGGTTCTAGGGGAAACGCCGTTTGGCAGGGCTAGGTCTGGAGTCATTGACCCGGTCGCTGCCAGGACCGTTGTAGGAACAGCATGAACCATACTCCTCCTTGGTTCCATCAGCCAAGGTTCTGCCAGGAAGCTGCAGCTTCCAGTACCCCGCCCCGCTATTATCTTAACAGGAAAGGAGAGTGCAATTAAGATGGAAGGAATTGTTTAATTACTTAAGGAAGCCTATCCCGGACCCTGGAGGGAAACTGTAAGGTCACCTGGAAGAGTCTTGTAATGGGAAAGTTTGGGCTAAACCCTCCAGAGCATGAACAAGTGCGCATGTGCAGCCAGTGGGGAATGCGAGGTCAGTGGATGCAGAATTACTCTGGAAGCATCAGAAAGGATTAAGAGGGAGTCTGCCAAACCACTGCTAGACTAAAAAGGTTCTTTCTTGAGGCAGGCCACGTGCTCAGTTGTGAGGCAGAGTGGGAGGGGTCTGTGGAGGATGCGAAACTGCCCAGATACTGAAGATGACCCGGTATTGCGAGTAAACTGACAGCAGAGTTCTTTGAGGAAACTTGCATGGAACAAAAGCTTGCAGATGGGCCTTAGAGAAGCTTCCTCCTGGCTGCTGGCGAGTGGAGAGTCTTGGATGAAGGTCAAATTAAAAAGCAGGTGTCCCAGTCTTTGTGTCTGAGCTGAAGCAGACGCGGACAATCCCGGAGCTTTCCAACCTGACTTTCAGATTAGGATACATTCATCTCTAGGTATTTGTGGAAAATTGGCTCCAGGACCCTCCTAAAGACCCCACAATCACCGTCAGAGAGATGACTCAGTGGTTAAAGCCTGTACTGCTCCTGCAGAGGATGCTTAGGACCAAGCTTATTTGGTCCTCCATCTACATATACATGAGGGGATAACAACTGCTTGTAACTCCAGCTCCAGGGGAATCAGATGCCCTCTTCTGGTCTCTGTGCGAACACACACACATACAAGCATGCATGCATGCACATGCATGCGCGCGCACACACATACACACACACAAGCTTAAAAACATCAAAACCCGAGGAGGTTGAAATCTGTTGTATGTCTGCATAAGAACTCTTATACATCCCCTATATACTTTCATTTGTCTCCAGATCATTTATAAAACTGATCCAACCAAATGTCATGAAAATAGCTATTATATATATACACAATTAACTTATATATATGTATATATAGTTAACCTATATATTAATTACTATGGCAAAAGGTCCATATATGTTCAGGTAGTTTTATCAAGTATTATTTATCTGTACTTGATTACATTCAAGATCCCATATCAGTCATTTTGGAATCCCTGAGGCCTAAGCATGAGTGTGCTTGAAAGCTATCTAAGCGATTCTATTATTCAATAAGGTAGGGAAAGAATTATGTTAATTAAAATGCACCGTCCCAAATTCTGAAGACATCTGAAACTGTAGACCAAGAACTACCAATGTTACTAGCTTGCTTTATCTATGAGCAATCATTCCAATGCTTCCTTCTTCCAAATACAGTATCGGGAAGAACAAAGCCAGGATTGAGTCCTACCCCATGGAACTTACAGTAGAGAGTGAGATGGTTATTCATCTGGCGCTTGCCTCACAAACCAAAATGTAAAATCACCACATTCTAATCATGGGAAAGTGTACGGTGTACTACAATGAAAGCATGGGCTTTAGGTCTGGCGGTCAATAGTCAAACTAGCTTAGGCTGTTTCTTTTGTCTCTGTCTCTAGTCCCCATGCTTTATACACATTGACTCACACTGTGTGCATAGTCCCTGAGGAGGTAGGTACATTTGTTGTTCCCATTTTGCAGAGGAGATGGGACAGAAGCTAGATTCCTTGTTTATGGATAAACAGGCAAGCAGCAGCGAAGTTGGTGCTTTGAGTGCCCATTCCAGTCAGACCCTGGACTTCTAAAGGAAAGGTAGAAACCAAGTCTTAACTTTAGCTGCCCTATGACCCTCTCCCCTCTGCCCTCCTGGCTGAATGAAACTAAATTGAACACTCAATGGGTGTTTGCTCTTTGATTCTAAAATAGACCTGTGGTTTCCAAGGTGCAGGCTTCTACCCTTGGTTTATTTTAGAATTTTCTGGACTGGAGAGGGTTTATCTTTCTTCCCCCTTTCTCTTTCTTTTTCTAAATCTAAAGGAAAGCAAATGTGCACGAGATGAGACCGCATCCAATGACTAGAGCCCTTTGCTGCACACAATGCTATAGATCTGTGTGGTCCATGCAGCTCAGAAATGCATAAGCAGGTCTTTGAAAGTCTCCTTTGGAGCGAAATTCTCCAAACATGTTCATTGGCTTTGTGAAAGAGCAAATTGCTTCCTGCAAAACAAGAAGGCACACTGAGGAGCTGGTAGGTGGGGAGCAGAGGGATCATGAGTGGGCAACTTTCTGAGAAGGGGCTGGTGAGCAGAGGGCAATGGGAAACCCTCAAGAGCACAGCCCTGTTTGCTGCTTTTCACTGGCCATGGAGAAGTTTACCTTCACAGAGTTGCTATACAGTCTCTGACATAGCATGGTCCCATGGCGTTCAGTACTGTATCAAAGTCTGAATTTTGATCTCAGCCTGATTGAGTACAGAATTTATTATGGGTTTGGTATGGACTGTCTCCCTCCAGCCTTGTATGTTGAAGGCTTGATTTCTCTGTGGTGTTTGCAGTCATTGAGAGGTGGTTCGATCTTGAAGACTGTAGCTTAATCAATGTGTTAATCAGTTGATGGGTTCATAATTTGATGGCAGGACTGGGAGTTAGTGGGAGGTGGGACCCAGATAAGGAAGTGGGTCCCTTAGTAATGGTAGCCTGAAAGTCTAACTCTTCAAGGCCACCTCTCAGGTTCGAGGAAGAAGTCCTCAATGAAGCGAAACTGAGCTTATCTTCTATCTGAGGGTAAAGACTCACATACACGATCTGAGGGTCACGTTCTTCATCATTCTGTAGCTCTTGTTCCGCCTCCACAGCTTCTAGGTCTCCATTATTTTAATTCACTGTTCCAATTGCTTCTTTGTTCACCTGGCTTAAATGCATTTTTTTTTACAGGAAGCTTAGGCAATAAGAAAAAAGTTACAAGAATTACATCTCATTGGTCACAGCACATTCCTTGGGTAAATCATGAGCTGAACATGATGGTAACACAGGGTTTCAAGATTCCAGGTGTAAGACTGACCAGAGGCTGGTTGCACAGTGCCCGGGTGAGACAAGCTACAGAGAGATCTGTACAGAGAGTCTGGTCTTATCAGCCAGACTTGGCAAGTGAAGAACTAGTCTGATTTTTTTTTTAGGTTGCTTTGTGTTAGTAACCCTGACTAGACATCTGCAACTCTGATCTTGTGCACATGTGTAACGTTTTAAACTTATGATCCATTTACAGAAACATTCAGTCTAGTTTGAACTTGCTCCGAAGTAAAACTGAGCAATTGTGTTAGTCTGTGTAAAAGGAACAAAATGGGCTTTTAAGTGTCTTACAGTCCTTGTGGGACAATAGATCTAGTTATGAAGCATGTCATAGAATATTTTCTGTACAGCAAAATTATTCAGATCAATGAGAAGTCATCTTCCTTACTATCCATAGATAAATGTGCCCATACAAATGAGATGCAATCATGAGACTACACATACACATCATATGAAATTACACCCTACAATGCAGGTATTGGGGAGACACCAAAACTGCGTTAGCAAGTGTGAAATTATGGACATGAGCAACAGTTTCCAGAGTTGGTGCTCCCATAGGCCCTGCCTGGACAGGATTCTCCTCCATCTGAGAACCATTCCTCTGGTGGGTCAACATCAGAACACTAGTTGTCACCTGCTGTGTACATCCACAGCCCTGAGACTCTTCCAGTGATTGGAACCCTGCTCTGCTTCCTGCTTGTAGTGAGGCAAGCTGCTGTGTTCACCTGTGTTCTAACTGCCCCGATATTCTGCCCCATCACGGGCCAACAGCAATAGAGCAAACTGACCATGGATGAAAATTCCTGAATCCATGATCCTAAATAATTTTTTTTTCAAGCCACAAGTTGTTTCCTCAAAGTACTTTGTGACAGCAGAGAATGTTA